TTTTATTTATTTATTTGACAGAGAGAGACACAGCAAGAGAGGGAACACAAGCAGGGGGAGTGGCAGAGGGAGAAGCAGGCTTCCCGCGGAGCAGGGAGCCTGATGTGGGGCTCGATCCCAGGACCCTGAGGTCATGACCTGAACCGAAGGCAGACGCTTAACGACTGAGCCACTCAGGTGCCCCAATCATCTGCTGTCTTGGTACCATTTTGGTACCATCTATGGAAAGACCAAGACCCAACTGAAATGTTCACTTGTCTTCAATTTCATCCCTCACCCCTGAATTTCTTTAATCATTCTTTTATACGTCATGGCCCCAAGTCACACTCACATTGACGGGGAGTTCCCTATTTATGTGAGGTCTCTGAAAAGAGTGAGGCTTGTTCATGCAACATCACCCACAAGACCAATCCCTTTTGGAAGATATATCTTTAGACACTTCTTTTTTGGTCTTATTTTTATGCAAAGTGCAAACTAAAATAACATTTTAAAACAACAAAGGTATAAATCTCGTTGCTCATTTTGCCGAGACCAACATGAGGATATGTGGACTGGATCCAAGGAGGAAAAAAAAAAATCACTCTGCCTCCCTCCCAGCTTCAGTTGGTTTAACCATCTTGTCCCCGATCCTTTGTTCTTTTATGCTCACCAGGCCTTCTTCCCTCAAGTGTGGCAAATTATGGAATTAGTGAAAGAGCAACAATTTTGCCGAGAAAATGGTTATGTGTTTATGGAAGTTCAATGGCTCAAAATGTCTAATGAAACCATTTAATGGGCCCAGAGAAAGAAAGCAGAACTGGGCCCCAGCAAGCTCTGCAAAACCGGAGATAGCTGAGAAGCACCCCCCGGAAAGGAGGCCATTTTGAGACACTGCTTGGGTAGCAAGGACTGGGGTGGCCTCAGCACCCATTGCTCTCTCCTCTGCACTGACACAGAACAAAATAACCAGTGAAAAAGTTCCCGGGAAATGGTCTGTGGCTTTATACAGTCCGACCTATACCCTTGCTAGATTGACATCTTTTCTGTTCTTCCAATTCTCCGTAAGATATTCAAGTCATTAGAGAACACTGAACCTAATTGTTATTCTCTGAAACCCTACCATGATATCCAGGGGTTTAGACTATGCAGTTCGCCTTCAATGGTGTTAGCAGCTGGACGGGAATATGAATAACATGCGTGTGTTTTATTCTGGGGCCTGCAGTTTGGTGTGCTAGAATGTGCCTCACTTCCTCTGGTCTCCCCCAGAGCAGCAGGGGCTTCCAAATCCTAGCCTCAGGTCAGGACAGCCTTTCCAGAGAATGCCATCTTTTAGTGTGCCTTTTGACCAAGGGAAATACCAAAACACATGTGGGCTGGGGTCTTGGTTACTTTAGTTTCCTAAACTGCCCTGGAGATTTCGATGGCTTTGACATTGAACCAGTCTCAGAGCATAATGGAGTTCACTACTACAAGGTACATTTCATAATATATTTTCTACTATTTGGAAGTACCCTAGACTACGGGGGAATTTTTTTCTGGGGTCTTCCTGGGACACCTCACCCGGGCTATTGCTTGGCCATCTTGTTTGGTTTCCCGTTGGCATCTCTGATCCGAGAGACAGAAGGATGGGAGAGGGAAGCATGAATGCACCCTTCCTTCAGAATAGACAGGGGGAATGAAGTTGGTGAATTTAGCTGAGGGTGAGCAAGAGCATTCTAGATGGGAAGGCCAGTAGAGACACTTCACTACCCTGAAGCTGCATGAACATTCAATGTGGGACCCCATCTGTTTTGTTAAATTGACAATTTCCTTTAGCAGGAAATAAAGGTTCATACTGAGTTTCAGACCAGCTACAGGGTAAGAAATAGCTTCACTTTTTAAAGACTTTTCTTTTTAAGGCATTCGGCCTGTAACCTAATTTCATTTGATGGAGTTTGTTTTTCCTTCCCCATTTGCTGCCTAGAAATGTGCGCTTCATTATCTCCTGCAGAATTGGGGTTGGAGCGGGGCGCCGGTAGGAGCTGGAGACTCAGAGTTCTCTGGACCTCAAAAGCACGTAAAAAAATAAAAAAAAATAATATTAAATAAAATTAAAACAAACGATAAGAGCAGCCACCCCCGTGGATTTGCTGTCTCAAACACGTCACACCACGCGGCTGTAACTGCTAAGGGGGACTGCCTGGACCCCTCCAGTTTCCATTTCATAAGCACGGAGACAAGGCCAGACCCAAATAAGCAAAGGACAGCACCTTAGCACAAACACACACAGTGGCAGATTTTCTTCCAGGGAAATGAGGTTTTCATTTGAGAGAAAAGCTCGCATCTATTAGGCCTCTTTTAGAATACAAGAAATTAATACTTTGTTTTAGATTTTTAAAAAATTCAAACCTTCCAATGTTCTAACATGAAGATGGGACTTTATCTAAACAAATAATTATAATGGAATATGATTTCCTACATTACTTTAGAACTGGTTTTTTTTTTTTTTGAATATTGACATGAGGGAAAACTCACACACAAGTGATTGTAGAATATCAACTTTTTAATTTAAAAAGAGTACTCCAGCAGTTACCCGGGAGAAAAGACACACATCACCACGGCTCTCATTAGCACTGGCTGGCTACATGGCTACAGCGCCCTCAGCAAGTGGAAATGAATTTACTTGATGTCACACAGAAGAGCCACTCCTCTCAGGATCCAGTGATCTGGGGACAAAACCGTTCGCAAATACACCACAGTGATGAAGGTCAAGTCGGTACGCCTGGGCTTCTTGTAAACAGGACACACATAGAGCTTGGGGTCCTTGGGCGCAGCGGGATTAATGGCGAAGATGTGCAGCACAGGCAGCTGCGTGAAGAGCACCTTGGGGGTGGATTCCGTAAGCTTCCCATTCCGTCTGTCCCAGGCGGCTCCATCCATATACAGCCCATAAATATACACACCTTCCTGGAAGAGTCAGGCATAAGGAAATAGGATTTTTGAAAAAAATTAGATGCTGTGAGATGGACATCCATTACTCTAATAAGGGTCGTCAGTTTAGAAAGAAGATATACACCAGTCTTAAAAGGCCACTGAAAGAACAAAACAACCACTGGGCACATTGTATTAGTGAAATACTGAGCCCAGTTTTCCCCTGTAGCCTATCTTGGGGCCATAAGGGCTGCAGAACTGTTCCCGTTATTGCTCATTTGAGTGTAGGGGTAGCCCGCTGGGGACAACAGACTTAGGCAGCAGAACCAAATCACCTCTACAAGGAGCTAAGTCTCATAGCGATCTGGTCTGAGTCAGTGTAGGGTCAGAACAAGGAATGGGATTTGGAGCTGGGAGCCACATGGGATCTCAGCCTGTGCCAGCCAAGCCAACCTGCAGCTCTAACCATCTCAGCCGAAGGAGGGAGTGAGATATGTGCAGCCGGGCCTGGCGAGCGGGCGAGTCAGAGCGCCCCCAGAGGCCAGGTGTGGTAGAGCTAGCGTAGGCATAATAGGGACTGGGTGCGTTGGTTCAACAGGGGTGGCAGTCATTCCCTCTTTCTCTTTCACACAAAGGAACCCTGCCCTTGAGCTCTTCACCATTAAATCTGGGGGAAAGACGTGAGTTGAATACCAGCACACCCTTGTTATAGGGGCTGCCTGGTGACCAGCACTGAGACTACGTGAAAGGCCACCCTGGGCTGGAGGGCTTAGGGGTCTTTGTGGAGGAGACGGCTTTGAAGGATGGGCTACTTGGGGGAAGACAGAGGACAGAGGGTAGACATCCAGGCAGCAGCAATAGTACAAAGATAGGTAGGATAGGTAGGAAAGCCCAAGCATTTTATTTAGCAGAGGGTTCAGTGGTTATAAAATAAGTTAGGGCCTGACTGTGGAAAAGTCTTGATGCCAAAGTGAAGAGTTTGAACTTTACCTTGTAGACCATGGGGAGCCATAGAACATATATTCAGTAAGAAAAGAAAGGCTAGAGGGAATCACGGGGAGACTCTGATAATCGCGTAAGCCCATAAGATATATCTATGTAGAAGGTGGTGACCATTTTTCCTTTCCAATGAGGAGTAGGTAAGGGGCAGCAAATGTAGATTATAATAAAAGAGAGTGAGATTAATTGCAAAGTATTTTCTAGAATCCTCTCATGTGAGCTAAGAGTATGAGGACCATATTTTTTGAACCCAAACCTAAAGTACATGGTTTGACAGTAAGACCAGGAGCAATCCCAGAAAATCAGGACATATGATTACTATCATTGCCAGTGGGTGACAATTACTGTATGAATGACACAACCATTCAGGTAGCAACCAACAGTAAACTGTACTCCTTTTAGGTTCCTTTTCATCTCAGAACTCTACAAAGTCATAGTTAGAAGGTGTAGCGGGCTGAAAAGTGTCCCCCCCGAAAAGTCATGTCCACTTAGAACCTCTGAATGTGACCATGTGGAAATAGGGCCTTTGCAGATGGAATTAGCTAAGGTCATATTGGATTAAAGTGGGCTCTAAACCCTATATGACTGGTGTTCTTGTGAGAAGAGGAGGGGACACACAGAGACACGCAGAGAGAAGAAGGTCATGTGACAATGGAGGCAGCGGCTATAAGCCAAGGAACACCAAGGACTACCTGCAACCAACGGAAGCTGAGAGAGACACACGGAACAGATTCCTTCTCCCCACCCCTCCCGCCCCACCCTGAGCCTTCAGAAGAAACCAACTCTGCCAATACCTTGATCTCGGACTTCTGGCCTCCTGACCTCTGAGGAAAGAAATTTCTGTTTTAAGCCCCCCAGTCTGTGGTACTTGGTGGCAGCTGCCTTAGGAAACGAGTACATAGCTTGGTGCCAGGAAACAGGGTGCTGCCCTGACAAATACCTCAGACATGGAAGTGACTTTGGAATTGCGTAATTCTAAAGGGAAAATGCTGGAAGAATTTTGAGGGGCATGATTGAAATAGCCTAGGGTTGCCTTGAATGGAGAGGTTGCTGGTGGAAATGTGGAGGTTAAGTGTGTTTCTGGTGGGCTGGCAGACAGAAATGAGGACCAGGATATTGGACACTGGAAGTGGCCTTGCTGTAAGTGACCCTTGCTTCAAGTGGCAGAAAGGGCCAGAACTTGGAATTCATCTGGCCCAGTCCTCTTCCTTGACAACTGAGGGAATGAAAATCAGAGAAAGGAAAAATGAGGCTGATGTATTGAATAGGGAGTCCTAAATGATTCCAGTTGATCCTCAAAACCGTCTTTCACGAGGTTGAATCATCATCCTTATTTCACAGATGAGGGAGTTGAGGCTCAAAAAGTTAAAGAACTTTCCCAAGTTCACAGAGCAGGTCAGTGTCCAAGCAGTGGCTCCCAACGGCATCTGCTTACCTTGGGGCCCACCACTCTGCCCCCTTCCGGGTGTCCCTCCACCCAGGGTCCCGCAGCTAGCAGGGGGCACTGCTGGAACTGACCCCAGAGCTCAGGACTGCAGGTACTGTTGGTCTCCACCGCCCCCGACCCTTGTCCAGTCTGTAAGCAGCCCACAGCAGGAGCTGGAGATGTGTGGAAAACCCACTTTTAGCAAACACAAGTGTAACTTGAAATTATAAAGACATGCTCTCTGGGGAGTTCCAGTGCTTGCCATTAAATCCCACCCCAGCATTGAGGTCTCTTGGTGAGGACCAAGGAAACCCCAGCCACAAAGCCAATGGACTTAACTGAGGCACTCATGGGTCAGTGTCAAGCAGAATTTGAGCTTTTAACCCAGGTTCCAGAACTGCCCATGCTATAGCCCGTGGCGCCTACCACAGGGGGCGATGTGATCTCCTCCTTGGTCTGCCGCAGAACTTCGTTGTGGATGGTCACGGAGTCCAGGGCCCAGCCTTTGTGGGCACGAGTCACTTCTTGCCTCATTGCTGTGAGGAAGCCTGAAAAAAAGAAAAGAGGATCCCTATGTCTTGGTGCAGTCCACTCGAGAAACAGGAAGGGAGCAGGGCCACGTGCGAGTTGCTTACCAATCTCTAAATGCGTGCCCTCCCAAGAGGAGTTGAGATTGAACCTCAGGGGCATATTTCTTCTTGTGTTTTGTTTCTGTGGGGACCTGCAATGAGCTGGGTATTCCTTGCTGGCTGACAGCAGGAAAGCAGCACCCTTTCTGCCTCAGACAGACCCTTGGTTTGAAATTCTCTCCTGGGGTTTCAACCATTCAAGGGTCTAAAGATTGTAACCCAGGCCGAGCTCAGAGTCTCTATTTGAAAACACGCTATTTAGGAACAAGACTGGAATAGTAAATATCCTGAGATCAGCATTCCAATGAAAACTCGAATTGAGCCATTATCAAGCTTCTATTTGCTATAATGGAACAATTTCATTTTGTCTAAGGAAACGAGGCATAATGCCAAAATAGAAAACCCAACTTTCAATTTGATTAAACAGAGCAATCACACTGGAAAGGAAAGCTATGTGTTTTAATGTGCATAATGCAGTTATTTTAAGGCAATACGTGGCTCCAGATATTGGGGTCTTTCTTTACACTTAATATGCTGTTCAATTCCATAAGAGAAGTCTTTGAGAATAGCAATTATGTTAGAAACTAGGCCCTAAACTTCAAATGGACTTCAAAACCTTAGGAAGATTTATCTGTGACCTCTATATTACATTTGGCTCCCATGTTAATAGTGAAAATCATGAGACTCTTGACTCATGATCATGAGTAAATTTTGGAATATGTATGTCCCCGCTCCTCCCAGTGAGATCTGAGAACGATTATGCACAAACCAGCACATCAGTGAGAATATTTTATCAAGTTTGACTGGGATTAGAAGGAAGAGAAAAAGTTGCAAGGCACTGAGTTACTATCCCTCAAAGCTGGAAAGAAAGAACAGGCCCCTAGCCTGGCTGAATGAGAGAGTCAAGTTCTTCTGGTTCCCAAGTCCCTTCCTAGATATTAGACAGCGGGGGAGGCATTCATTTATTCATTCATTTATTCATTCATTTATTCATTCATTAAACTTCTCAGGCGTGGCCACCGTGTACCAGGCAGTGCTGTGGATGGGATGACCACAAAGATGAAAAGGCCATCCATCGACCCCGCATTCCAGGAGCTCAGTCTAGAAGGAATGTGGAGGAAGACACAATGTTGTTATGAGCAGAGGTGTGAACAAAATAAACCACTCGGGAAGACAGCTCAAGGAAGGCTGAATCGAGAAGATGAAGTTGAAGGTGACTCTTGCAAGATACGTAGGAGTTTGCCGGATGGGACAATTCCAGTTAGATGAATAGCGTGTGCAAAAAACACGGAGGTCTAGGCGAAAGGTGAGGCAATGTTGGCAGATAAGGTTAGCACGAAGGTAGAGGCGGGACTTTTCAGGGTCAGAGTTTGGACTTGATTTTGTGGCTAGTGGGAAGCCACTGAATATTTAGAGTAGGCAAATGATTTGGTTATATTTGCATCAATAAGGTGTACTCAGAGTGCTCTCTAAAACAGGATTTGCGTGCTAAAGAAGAATGCTTGCATTAATCTAAAAGGTCAATCAAACAGAGTAGCTGATTGTAGGGCTTTTATATGTGATTCTTTTTTTTTTTTTTTGTCTTTTAAAGATTTTATTTATTTGAGAGAGAGAAAGAGAGAGGGAGAGAGAGAGCACGCACACAGAGAGAGAAGGAGAAGCAGGCTCCCCGCTGAGCAGGCAGCACGATGCGGGACTTGATCCCAGGACCCTGAGATGATTACCTGAGCCCAGGACTCTGGGATCATGACCTGAGCCAAAGGCAGATGCTTAACTGACTGAGCCACCCAGGCGCCCCTGTAGGTGATTCTTATAAAGCTATAGTTTCACAAAACTGAGAGGGCCTTGTAGTAAAGGAAGATTTTATGACACCAAAAGTTCACTACAGGGGCCAGGAAACGGTGCAAGTTTGCCTGAGAGCAATTGCTGGTCAGGGCCTATCCATACTCCATCCTTGGAGTCACTTGAAGTGATTTGATCAGCATGTGATTATGTTGACCTCAGTGTTCAATACTGGGGATCCCACACTCTAGTAGTAAAACAAACATGTGTGCATTTGCCAGTCGGTGGTGTATGACTGTTAGGGGAGGGAGGTCATCGAGAGAATGTGACCACCTATGAGCTGCACCCAGGCAATCAGAGACTCCACTTCCTTCCCTGTTTTTGGAACCTGCAGCCCTCTGCCTTCCTGCCTCCCAGAAGCTGCTCAAGAACATGTTGAGACCCTCTGGATGGTGTTCGTGCCTGAACCCAGTGAAGGCCTCTAGATAAACCTTTATATTTGGTGGGTGGGTGTGACGATCTACTCCTCTTGTGGAGGCCTGAGACAAGCCTCATGTATAAATCCCCTTGCTTATTAAACCTGCCACCTACCATCCTGGAGTGGCCTACCTCTTTCTTGGGTTTCTGTCTGCCCTCCAAGGAAGGGGGCCAGTTTCAGATTTCACCAGGGAAACTTCCAAGAAGGTTGCAAACCAATAACTGGCGAGCCTGCCAGGAGACCAAAGAAACTGGCCTTGGGAAAGGCATCCAAGGGAAAAATCCTGCGTTGACCACCAACCTCTACGTGGGGAGGGGTGGCCTGTATGTCAGAGGCTTGTGAACCACCACGTGCATACAGGGGCACCCCAGAAACGCTGGCCCATTTAATGTGCTTCTTTGAGAAACTGTGCCTAATGCGCTGTGGGAAAGAGAATGCCTGGCAAAGTGATGAGAGGGAAGGAGGGGTGTTGTGGGGATTGAGTGTGAAATGGACAAAACACCCTGCCGTCCTAGTACAAAGGAATGCAAAAGCACAGCAATCGCAACCCCAGCCAGTGGGGCAGCCCCAGTTCAGGAAACGTTCATGATGAGAGAGTATACTCCCATTGAGCTTATTGATACAGCTGCCAAGTTCCAGCAAAAGGCCAAGAAAAGTTCCCAAGCATGGTTAGTGCAGCTATGGGATACAGGGGGCCATGGCATTCCTCTGCCTGGTCAGGTGGCAGAAAATATGAGCAACATCTCCATACACCCTGCCCTCCAGCAGTGCCGGCATGGTGCTCGGTGGGGAGGGCTGGTTTGAGGTACGCATTCCCTTACAGATTGGACTGTTCTAGCCTGCAGGGAGGCTTGCCCAAGGAAGGTGACCTCCCTGGGAAGATGGGACCCTGAAAATCTGTAGAGGAGGTACAACAAATTCTTAGGGAGTTGGGAATGACATAGGCCATCTACACCCCCGTCTTTGCAGGGCCTGATCGGGCCACATTCACTGTGGGAAAGAAAGCCAAGATACTCTAGCCTGTCCCCAGCATCTGGTGCGGGACGCTGATCCACACTAAACCCAGTTGTGGGGCAAGATATTATGGTGTTGGGAAATCCATTGCTGATCTGGGGGAAACTGACAGATCCTGGGATCTGGTATGGGCTGTGGGATAGACCCGAGACAGAGAGGGAGCTCAGAAAGTCAAAAGGCTATCCCAGTCAGCTATAAAGGGTAGAGTAAAATTAGCCCAGATGAAAATGTGGTTTAGCCTCATTGCTGCAGGGACCAAACCTGAACAGATAGACCAATAACCTGTGGAAACTATGGGGAAGTCTTGAAATTTGAACAACAATTTGGACCCACCCCATCTTCCCCTACCAGCAGAGGCCTCAGGGGTGCAGTCTTATTCGGGGTGGGTGCCTCCTACGCCCAGGGTATTGTTGGATGCCGTCCAAGAGTGCTTCCGGGTGGGGACCACTGCAGGTGATCAGAGGACTCATGTTGAGTTCACGACTCACCTGTCCCCCAGGAATAAACAAAAGTGGCGGCTCTGGTGGATATTGGAGTTGAAGGTACTCTACGACGTGGTAAACCTCAGAAGTTTCCTGGACCCTCAGTGTCATCGATGATTATGGAGGGCAAACAATTATGATCAGGATGGTCCTACTGACCCTGCAAATTGGGTGTTCTACCCCCAAGAATGTGAGGTGTTTTTTTTTCTCTCCAATACCAGAAAACATGGTGGACACTAATATCCTACAAGGTCAAACTGCAGAACTCTATTGGTGACTTCTGCTCCAGCTTACAGTAATCAAAGCAGTGCTGAGGGAAAATGCCAACTGGGAACCCCTAAGCCTACCATTCACCCTGAAAAGAGGTAGCTGTCAAACAGTATCAATTGCCTGAGGGTGCAGAAGGAGATAGGAGAAACTATCCAAGAACTGCCCTGAGTGGGTGTTGTATGCTGTGCCCACAGTACTCTCAACAGCCTGCTCTGGTGGGTAAAAAAGCCAGGTGGCTTGTGGCAGATGATGGTGGACCTGCCAAAAATCACACGAGGTAGTGCCTCCCTATTCAATATGCAGCTGTGCCCCACATTGCCACCATCTTAGATATCTTGGTCATGGTGTTAGGCATTTACTATGCTGTGCTGGATGTAGCAAATGTTTTTCTCAATAGACCGCTGGCCACTGGGTCACAGGATCAAATTGGCCTCCACGTGGGAGGGGCAGCAATGGACCTTTCAAGTGCTTCCCTGAGGTGACCTTCACAGCCCCACCATATGGCATGGCATGGTAGTCCAAGACCTGTCCCTATCCTCCTTCCCCACATCAGTAAAATGGGCCTATTACACTGAAAATAGAATGTTAACATGTGAAGATTTGTTTCTGCGGCAGGACACTCTGCAGACTTTGCTGGAACATTTGGGGGAGAAGATGAGCAGTGAACCCACAGAAAATTAAAGGCCCAGGCACTGCTCTAAGGTTTTGAGAGTCGTTGGGTGGGGTAAGCAGCATCTTGCCCCAGTTGTTGTGATTGATAAGGGCAAGCTCATCCAACCCTCGAGAACGTGAAAGAGGTATAAGACTTTGTGGAGATTTGGGGGTTTGGAGGACTTTTATTCCCCACCCAGCATGGTGCCTCTGTCCCTTATACTTCCTGACAAGGAAGGGGC